CTCCGTGATGGCCAGAGCAAAGGCAGACCCCAAGTTTGGGGAGATCTTCCGCTTCGACATCCCAGTGCTGATGTGGGACCAGCACTTCACCCCGGAGACCTGGGAGAGGCTGAAGGCGAGACACGTCCCCTACGGCTGGCAAGGCTTGTCCCACGCAGGTACAGGACCCGCTTGGGCCGGGGCTGGCAGCAGATGGGACAAGGGGGACGAGGGGAGGGTGTGGGGCAGCTCGAGGCACCCGGGGAGCCCAGGAGAAGGGACTGAAGACATGGGGCAGGCAGAGAAGCCCTGCAGAGGAGCTGGGGGCCTTGATCTCTCCCCCCACTCCGCCTCCTGGGGCAGAGGGGGCAGCTTCACCCACGCCGTTTGCGGCATCTTGTGACATTTTCCCTGAATAAAAGCTCCAGTGTGTGCATGATTATGAACTGGGGCCGGGGAAGCTCAGACAACCCGCTCCATTGTGGAAGGAGATTGTTTCCCTTCCTACCCCAAACCCACTTTCTGCTCCCTCGGCTTCAGTCCCTGGGCTGGGAAGAGCTGGGGATGGCAGCGGTGGCAGCCATAAGGAGACAGTGTTAGGAGGGGACATGGGCAGCAGCACCTGCGGAGCTGGGGCTGGCTGGATGCTGGAGATGGCCGGATGCATCCCCATGCCTTGCATGGCCTCGGGCAGCTGCTGTTTGAAGCAAGCTGAAGCTTGGGGGGCGCTGAGAGGAGAGGGAGGTCATGCTGGTGTCCCTCATCCCACGTGTAGACCCCTCTCCCGCATGAGGATGGCGTGAGCTTGCTCGTGTGCTGCTCCTGGATGCGCTCTGGTGCCGGCTTCTCGGAAGCGTGTGCTCATGTGGGCTGACACACATCTTCCTGCAGCCTTCCAGTGCCTGGGGGGGCTACAAGGAAGCGGGGGGGGCTTTTTACAAGGGCAGGGAGTGACAGGACAGGGGGTAACGGGTTTAAATTGAAAGTGGGGAGGTTTAGGTTAGATATCAGGAAGAAGTTCTTCACGGAGAGGGTGGGGAGGCACTGGGACAGGTTGCCTAGAGAAGCTGTGGATGCCCCATCCCTGGAAGTGTCCAAGGCCAGGCTGGATGAGGCTTGGAGCAACCTGGTCTAGTGGAAGGCGTCCCTGCCCATGGCAGGGGGTTGGAACTGGATGGTCTTTAAGGTCCCTTCCAACCCAAACCATTCTGTGATTCTATGATTCTTCCCCTCCGGATGCTTCCCGCTCCATTCCAGCGGTGGGCAGCACCCTCCGGCTCCTCAACACCTCGGCCAACCGACGCCTCTTCGACAGGGACGCCTTCCCCGCCAGCTGCATCCGCTGTGCCGTGGTGGGCAACGGCGGCATCCTCAACGGCTCGCGGCAAGGCAAGGCCATCGACGCTCACGACCTGGTCTTCAGGTGGGGAGGGGTCCTGGGCAGGATGTAGGCGTGGGCGCTGGGAGGCCAGCCCTGGACACACATCCTGCCCTTCTGCCGCAGGCTCAACGGCGCCGTCATCAAAGGCTTCGAGGAGGACGTCGGCACCAAGATCTCCTTCTACGGCTTCACGGTGAACACCATGAAGAACTCCCTCATCGCCTACGAAGAGTATGGCTTCACTCAGATACCCCAGGCCAAGGTGAGACCCCGAGGGATTGTGGTGGGGGGGGGTGACCTCCAATTGTCCCCTGAGGCTGGGCTTGCCCCCCAAACCTTCCACACAGCTCAGGACCCCTCAGCCTTTGCCCCACTGGCGTGGGCAGTGCCCCAAAGCCCCCGCTAAGCACCACGTCCGTGTCCCCACTGCAGGACTTGAGGTACATCTTCATCCCCTCAGACATCCGCGACTACGTCATGCTCAAGTCGGCCATCCAGGGCAGCCCGGTCCCCGAGGGCTCGGACAAGGGGGATGAGTGAGTAGCCCCCCGAGACTCCCCCAGCGCCTCCGGTGATGCACCAGAAGGAGCATCACCCCGCGTGTCACTGGTGGGACAAACAACCCCCCACGCAGCCCCAGGGCTCCCGTGACGCAGGTTCTGCCTGTCTCGTTGCCCTGCTGCAGGCCACGGAAGTATTTCGGGCTGGAGGCATCTGCAGAGAAGTTCAAGCTGCTGAATCCCGATTTCCTGCAGTACCTGACAGCGAGGTGAGGATGACGAGGATGGCGGCTGCTGCCTGGCTCTGCCCCCGGCTGGGCTCGGA